ACCTGGGCTAGTGGGAGGTGTCCCTGCCCATGGCAGGGGGGGTGGAACTAGTCGATCATTAAGGTCCCTTCCAACCCAAACCATTCCATGATTCTGCGATAATGCTGCGTGGCGGTGGAAGCAAGTGAAAAGTAATACTGTCTGATTGGATGTGCTAGAGGAGTGAATTACAGTGAGACAAGGCACAAACTCAGAGCCCTGCTTTTCTTAAAGCTTTTAGTGTCAGAATTGAAATAGTGCTTCATGGTATGGGGCTGGGGACTGTGCCTTGAGTTTGAGTTTTAAACCAGGCATTTTTCCCCCTTAATATTTTTTCTGAGCAGATCACAGACCCCTCACCCATCAGTTCTGTGTCATCACCTTCACCCATGCTCCACAGGTACCGCTTTTCTCTTCTGTGACTTTCTCCCCAGGCCACAGGGGCTGTTGCTGTGCACTGTTAGGTGTTTTCGGTGTCAAGCCCCAAAACCAGACATGTTTGAAAGTGGATGAAATGTTATTTTTCTTCCATAATCTTTAAAATATACATTGGGGTAATACTAGCAGAACCACCTTTCCCTAGGCAGCCCGAGACGCAGCACAATGTAAGCGTCAGGAATTTCATGTTGACACCAGCTAACGGACTCTCCTGAGAGAAATTTTCCAGAGAAAGAGATGGCAACTCAGGTCTTCACTGAATGTTTCTCTGGGGACTTGTGCCACTGTAGTGTCACTGATTTTAGTGAACCCACGCATGAGAGCTCCTACTTGGTACTCCCCCCGAGGTTAAGAGAAGAGAGACCATCAGGGTGCTGAAGAAAGTCCCTTTGCTGCACTCATCACTTTTTGTCTCTCTTCTCTCCCAGGCAGCAGCACTGTTGCCTTACAGCAGGATGGGAGATGTCTCCTTACCGAGGGAGAGGCAGACTTCCTTTCCAAACCCCCAGCAGGATGAAATAATGACTCTTCCCTGGCAGTAACGAGATGGGACACTCTGCAGCTGCACTTCAACTCCTCTCTGTTCCCCAAGGCCAGCTGAACAGTTCAGACCATGCTTTGTCTGTGCCCTATTGACCATTCCTCCTTCCTTTTTCTCTTCCAGAGAGACGGTACTCCAGATCGCGTCCCAAGGTTGGTGTACTGAATTATTCTTCTCACGTGGTGATGAGCCAGCAGCCCAGCGAGACGGCTCTGACTCCGCTGACAGAGCAGGAGGGGGAGGCTTACCTGGAGAAATGTGGGAGCATCCGTCGCCACACTGTCGCCAATGCTCACTCAGATATTCAGCTCCTGGCAATGGCATCCATGATGCACACAGGAATGGTGATTGAGGAGTCAGACAGTACTGACAAATGCCTCCTCCTGCAGCCCAGTTTTAACCACAGGCAGTGCTCCAGTGAGCCCAGTATTGCCGATGGGCCAGAGAGAGTCGCGGCAGCAGGTAGGCAGGATCCTGCAGAGCTGAACTGCACGTCGGTCAGCTAGAAGAAGTCTTGCTGCGGAGAGGGGAACTGTATGCACTAAGCTGGACAAAGCATCGTGTCATCCCTGCTGGGAAGAAAGAGAGAAATTCAAGTTGTGCTCATATCATTGAAATGGTCATGAGGGATCTTATGTCTCTTTGGGAATGCTCTCTAGTTTTTGGGTTTTTTTCTTGCAGGTCTGGCGTCATTGTTGATGGAGGTACCAGGCTGCTCCCAAATGAGCACTTAGGGTTGCAAAGGTTTCACTGCTAGACAGTGCAGTCTGCCTTCTGGACATTTTCTTGCTATACTAGCCCAAACCCTTCAGCCTCATGTTTCCTTCTGTTTCTTTAGTATAAGGCAAATTAGCCTCTTTCTGCTTTTCTCTATCTTTCCCAGCTTTGTGCTGCTTGTTTGCTCTTTATTCCTGCAGCAGAGAGCTCTCTGCTAAATGTTCTCTTTGCTTCTGGCACTAGGGTGGTGAAGGCTGAGGACCGCATTTGTCTCTTTTGAAGTTGAACTCAGGAATGAAACCATTTGCATCGTGGAGAAGGATCTGCTCAGGTGGCTTGTGAGAGGAGATCCTTCACTTTGCCCCCCATTGGCATGGATGAAAAGTTCAAATCCGAACAAATCAGACTTTTTATTTCCCCCCAGACGTGAAGAGAACTGAGTATACATGGAGTCCCAGCTGAGTACTTCATATGTACTTTATACGGTTCCAGTTATATCTTTGGGAGTGGTGGTGTAAATTGGGTGCAAAATGCAACCCTGAGCATCCTGGCATTTGGCATCAAATTGATCTCAAAATTTTGGTGGTGGTAGGGCTACAATGGAAGGAGAAATCTAAATTTGATTTCTTTGGGAAGGAGATGCTGGGCAGAGTCTGCACTGGTGCGGGAGACTGGTGCTGAGACTTCTCAGCACTGGGCCCGTGTGATTCCAGCCCAGGAGGTGATGAACAGGATTGCATCTTTGGGCTCCTCTGGTGCTTTTAGTGCTTGCAGATTTCATGAGGCCAAAGAAAACCAGTGGGCTGTAGAAATGAGTCCTAACTTGGGAATGTATTCATGAAGTGCTCCCGACCTCCAGTGGTATCTGACTCCGTGCAGTGTTGCTTTTAAGATAAAGCGAGGGCTCTTTGCAGTCTTTGGTTTTGTTTTTAATTTGAAGATTAGGAGTGGGTCCAGTTTGCAAGTGTCTCTGTCAGGTACTGCAGTCCACAGTGGCTGCTTTGTAGCATCACTTGGTACTCAAATGCTGCTTCTGTGAGAACAGAACCAGTCTGTTCGAGCAGTCCGCTGGGATACTCTGCTGATGTCTTGTTAAGCAGATTTGCAAGTATAATTACAGCTTAGAGGTGAACTGAAATGCTGCCTGAAATGTCAAATCCCATTAAAAATATGGATATAACACCACTGCCACTCAAATCCAGTCCCTGTGGTACTGACTGTAAATGAATTTGTCTTGACAAGGAAACAAAAGGTTACAATGAGCCTTCAGGATGGGGTTTTTTTGCATGCTATGACATTAACTGCAGAATTTGCCCTGCTTCTGTTGGGCATTAAATATCTTCTACTCCAGTGGCTGCACCAAAAGTACAGCTCTAACCTGTCAGGATTTGGCCTTAGTAGCATGTGTAGTGAAAAGAAAGTAGACTATTTGTTAACAAAGCATCAGAAATACCATCTATGAGCAGAGGCCACACCGCCTTTGTAAATGAGGCTGTTGCTTTGTCTCCTGCAGTTTGCAAATGTTGAAAGAGATACTTGAAAGGGCCTGCTTTTTCTTGCCGTCACCTAAGGCGCCCTAGCTGTTGGCCTTTGTGGAAATGCCAAGTGTTTTGATCACCAGCTGTGCTTTACATGTGGAAGAACAGACTTTTAGTTGTGCTGGCTGCCTCCCGTTGGGAGCATGCACAGTCCAGTGGAGGCCAGGAAGATCTGGCTTTAAGGAGTCTTCCCTTCAGATGGGTTAGAGGATAAAGTACCTGCTCTACTCATAAATTGGACTGACCAGGCCAACTTATTTGTTTTCATCTGCCCCAGGGTGGCCATGGATTGTGGTGGAGCTTCAGGATCTCTGTGCTGACAGCCAAATCTAGTAGACCATGCTGCGTGGGGTAGATGGTGGCATTCTGCTCAAAAGGAATTTATTTGGCCCCTTGCCAAAGATGTAGAGCCTTCCCTTGTCGCAGCCCCGTACGTGGGGAAGTGATTACCCTGCAGCATTTCAGTTCACTCTTATGAATGCTTTTCTTCTTTCTATTTCTCCTCTAACCCATACGCCTTCTCTAAATACCAAAACCATTTGGATTATTGAGCAGCAACCTCGTTTATGGTGAAAATTAGAGTGTTTTATTTATTTCCTGACATATTCGTGGATCATCTCTAGGGCTAATAGGAACCCAGTCCTGGTTTTAACTTGAATTTCTTCTGTTTTACATGTATGCATAATTTGAATTATTTTGATTTTGTGTCTTTTACTTTGCAAAAATTTGCACCAAGCCACTCTGAATCATGCACTTCCCAGCTGTTTTGGTTTTTAGGGAGAATTCAAGCTGGTGGCTTTACTTTGTAAACTGAAGTAAACAAAACTTGTTCTGGAAACCACACTGAGGGTCTGGTCATGAGCACCACTTTTACAGCCGTGTGAAATGCAAAGCCTCTGCACAAGCCTCTGCAAGCCCATAGCTTTTGCAGGCAGACTGGGTGAACCTTGAAGTGGTCAGAAAGCCGCCCCTGGCAGTAAAGAGCAAAGACCCTGTCCTGGGCCAGAGCTGCAACATGAGAAACACTTGCATTTTGGAGACAAGGTTCTGGTCTGGGGTTCCGCTTCTTTGCTGCTCAACGTGTCACACAGCCGTGACAGGGGATCAGGGCAGGTCTTTTCTACCCTCATGGTCATCCACTTGAGAAAATCTCCTGGAAGAGCTGCCAGAGTGGGAAGAAGGGATTTCTCTCGCCATCTTCCAAAGTCTGTTTGTTACCTTCTAACTGGATAATTACCTAGATCAAGTCACTTCCCTTCACACCGAATCTATCTTCTCTTTTTATACTGTCTCCTCTTCTGAAGGTAAGTGATTGATTCTCTGTGTCCATGCAATTCTGTCATAAACTTACTGAGGGGTCCTCAGTAGAAGGCTATTCTTAGTACAACTGGCCTTTTCCCTGACATCCCCCATAGGCAAGCAGCATGTTTTTATTGCCAAGCAGAGCTGCTTCAGTCCCCAGCTGGGTAGGCAGAAACCTGGTTTTGGTTTGGTGCTTTTTTTTTTTTTTTCCTATCTGAAAGGAATGCATTAAATCTTGGTGCTGGCACTGGTGGCAGCAGAGAGGGTGCTGCAGGGTTTGGATTGACGTTGAGGTAGACTGTTGCCCTTTTTTTAGATCGAAATGGCAATGGGTTCCTCTGGAAGGAATGGTCCTTTGATGCTTACAACCCTGAGTCAACAGATTGAAAATGCTTGTCTCTTCCAGGCAGCCTGTGTGTCCCATCTGAATATCTAGTGAGCATCTAATTGTGATGTTTATGCTCTACTTATAGGAACTTCTTAATTCTGCTGTAGACCCAGAACAGCCAGTTTCCCTAGCGGGATTCCCTGTTCCTTCCTGCCCTGGCTCCTTCCCTGTGCCAGCAGCAGGGCTCCTGGGCTGGGCACACACCTCCTGTTGTGTGTGTGTGGGGGGGTTCCAGCGGGAGGAAGGGGAATGGGGCAATGTAGAAACTCCAAGTTGATGACACTGACTTGCACTGAGCTGCCAGAGCAAGAAGTGCTAGTTCTGTGCTAAGAACAAAAGATGCTGCCTATTCGGAGGGGTGCGGGCAGGACCCCGCCGTGACCTTCACACTCACACTCTCGGTGGGTCTTCCTCATCCTTAGGAAAGGCTGAAGAAGGCAATTTGTAAGTATTGGAGCCATTCAAGTGAAAGTGAGCACCTCTGCTCATTGACAACTGAAATTTAGAGGCAGGTCAAGATCTATTCAGCTGCGGAAATTGCAGCCAGCAGAAGCAAGGGATTGTGTTTTCTCCAGTGACCTGAGTGCAGCAGGCACCGAGCTGTGCCCTGAGGCCGGGGCCCCCCTCACCAAGCTGGAGTCAGGCCCTTTCCATGGCCTCACAAATCTCCTGTGAGCTTTGGCCAGCAGCACGTCCTCTTACGGGCTGTGGAGAAGGCTGGGAGAGCACGTCCTCCCGTTGGCCTGCCCTTTGCGGTGAGCTGCCCGCTCCTGAAAGGAATGGGCACATTCTATCCAGCCTTGAACTGGGGGGCTCAAATCTTGCAAGAAGTGGGGGGCCAGGCTGTCTGCAAGGGGTGGGTCTCTGCAGAGCCAGCACGGCTTCCCGCATGGAGCAGCCTGGCAGCAGAGCTTGGGAAAGCACGGGAGAAAATCAGACTTAGCCTGGCACGGATGCCCCACAGTGCCCGGGGAGTTTCCTTGGGGGGATGTGAGCTGTAAATTCAGCCCACAGTCATCTTGTTTCTTGCTCACAAACACTCCAGCTCCATAGGAAAGTTGCTGTAAATTTTCATCTTAATTCAAAGTGGGAAGAGTGTGGGTAGTATTTGGCATCTCCCTGAGCAAAGAGGAGATAATTAGTCACCCTATTCATTTTTTCAAAAGTGGAACACAGATCTGGCAGCACGACAACAGCTTAAGTGGGATTTTGTTACTTATCCACCAATTTGGAGAGTGCTTACTGTCCTCCTTGCTATCCCAACAGCTCCCTGTGAGGGCACCAAGCACTTCACTAAATAAACAGAAGCTTCAAAACAGAAATACTATCTTTTAAAGCAGCTTAGCAGCAAAGGAACAGCATGTTCTCATTAGTACGGGGCTCAAAATCGCATGCAGTAAAATAGCTGCCACTTTCCACCAGACAACTGGCTGCCCTTCATTCATTAGAATCATAGAATCATGAAGGTTGGAAAAGACCTCAAGGATCATCAAGTCCAACCGTCAACCCAACACCACCCAACCCACTAACTCATGTCCCTAAGCACCACATCTACACGTTT